ATACCCTTAAAGACTCTTCTTTTCTTTTTTTTCAATCCAAGCAAGCAAATATTGTTAAGTGTTTTCATCAACAAAGAGGCCAAACACTTTTGTTTGTTGGGACCATTTCTTTTTTGGCTCATTCAGGCCAATTTTGATCATACTTGGAAGGGTATAAATTCCGTATGCTGTGAAAGTATTGGCTTTTATCCTCTAGGCTAGTTTCTTAATTGCCTTTTTTTCACTGGATTTTGCATTTTCTCAATGTGTTGTGTGCCTTTTTGTCTTTGTGCAGAATGCACAAGAATCTTGTGGGAAGTTTTTTTGGGAGTGCCAAGAAAATGTTGCGAGTTGATGATCAAATTCATGTAACACATAAAACGGCTCCTCCATATGACCTTTGGGATCTTGTTGGACTTGGATCAGGAAACTCCTTGATTTGTATCGAATGTGCTGATTTCAAGAGGAGCTGGTTCAAAATGTGATGAGCCTTTTCATTTGGGTGAGTGCAATACCTTCAAGTTTTTATTCGACCCATCTAGTAAGAATATGCCAAGAACAAAAACACAAGAAACGCTTTTTACATGCGCCATCTCAGAATATTCAAAACGTTCCCAACTCCATAAGTCCGATGATTTACTTTTATGTTCACTGCTGCCCCTAAGCAGGTTGTAGAAGAATATTTTAAACTAGTTGGTGGGATGGAACAAAATACTAACTTGCACTAAATTTGCACTAAATTATTGAGACAATTCATCCAAACATGCAAATAGGAGATTGAAAGACACATATCCAATATTAGAAAACGTCTACGGAATTAGAAAACGTCTGTGAAAAAGGAAAAACAATCGAAACAGAACAGAACCATCATAATCCTCTCATATCATCATATAATACTTTCTTATTCAGATGGAGTTCAGAGATATTTTTTTGAATTTTTATATAGGCATTCCATGAGCTATTTTTTTGAATCTTTATATAGGCATTCCATGTCGGGTATCGTTCTTGAATCATTTGGTGAAACTTCAAGCGTTGATCAGCGTCAGTAGTGGCATTTTCTTGGCTTCTTTCATTCTTTATTTCGTTGACTTTGGACTCAAGCCTTTGCAGAGACGTGACACAATCTTTTTGGGTTGCATTATCTTTGCTCGTTTTGTATGCATATGCACCCAAAGTAAGCTGCAATAAAATAGAGTAATTAGTAAATGAACCATCCTGGTTACAAAATTGATGAGTTATAGTGTTTACCCTGCCCATTAGCCAATAAGCGACTTTATTCACTGCCTCGTCGTCTTCAGCACGATTATTCTCACCATGGAAAGGGACACTAGCAAAAACTTCATTTTTGACAATCACAGACGAAGAGCAGTCTAATCCAGATTTCTATAAAACAATGAAAGATTGAAAATCAAGACTATTTGGAAGAAAAGATTTGTTTCGGAATGAAATCAAATTTACCGCTGGATTTCATCACAACCTCTACAGCTGTGGAAGTAGTTGGAGGTTTTTTTCCCCCTAAATAAACAGATTACTTTGAATTAGTAAAATAGATTAACAAAATGAAGTTATTGTTGGATATTATTTGATTTGGAGACGACGGGCACAATCAATTTCTCACAACTTGAATTTTATTATATCAAAGTAAGGACCCGCTTAGGTCTTACAATCTTGATCACATTTGTTGCTTGCTTCAGCAACACTCCTTACTTGAGCACTCACACTTGTTTGCTCTCTTGTTTTCTTACTTACTTGGTTTGTTACTTACTTTGTTATTTGCTTGGTTGTTTTCTTTCTTGGTTGCTTACAAGTTGTTGGATGCCTAGAAAATGAAGGCCCCCTCTATTTATACTACAACCTAGGGCTTAAAGTGTAATTAATATTTACTTTACAAGTTCCTAAAGTATTTACACTTTGGTCCCTCTCTAAAACTCTTTACATGTTCTAGGATATTCTAAAGCTTTCCAAGAAAGCTTCTAAGTTCTTCTAGAGTCTTCTTGGAAATTCTAAGGGCTTCTAGAGTTCTCCATAAACCTCTCCACAACTCTAGACTTTTCCGCCCCTATCCGGATGCAAATTTTGACTGTGAAGTGGTGGGACGTGACACTCTCCCCCACCTATTGATGCGACAACCACATCGCATTGCCGCTGCATAGTCATCTGAGTTTTGTGCATGCGCGACTAATAGTCTATTGACTTGATCAAGGCCCTCGTGCAACTCTTTTAGCTGCTTCATTATCTCTTCTAGCTTGGCCTTATGATCTACTTCCTTCCTAGGAGGCAAGCGCCTCGGCGGCTTCTTTGGCATCACGACATTGTTCTCTTTTAGAACCTTCTTCGTGTGTGGTGGCAGGGACCTTTTTGCACCATTGTCTTCTTTCAAACTTGCAATGGTGTCTATAAATGCTGGCTCCTTCTTCTTAGGGTTTCTTACAAGTTGCATGGCAGTTAGACGGACTTGTCCTTCCGTCTTCGGTACTTTAACCAGGGGTACCATACATGACCCTCCTTGCTCCATGACTAGAAGTCGTTGGAGGTAAGAGTCTATAACCGCGTGGCACTGCTGGAAGAACTCTTGCCCAAGAATTATGTCAAAGAGGTCTAAAGGAGCGACAGTGAAGTTGGTTTTACCTTGCCACTCGCCTAACGTGATGCTTACTCCATGCGCGACTCCGCTCACAGGAGTCGGGGTGCATTGACCATCTTGAGTTGGGCGTTACTTGGACTGTTGCTCAGCCCCAACTTTGTTGCTGCCTTTTTTGTCATGATATTGACCTCTACACCCGTGTCGACCATAGCACAAGCGGGTCTTCCATTAATCATGAGGTCGACATACTGCGCGCCGTATCCTCTTGGCTTCTCTGGCTGCTTCGTGATGGCCCCGCATAGTCCTATCAGGCCGAACTGCGTTGTCTCTGCACCATGTCCTTGCTCATGTGCGTCTTTCTCCTTCCGCTCCGCAGGATAACACCAAGGCTCTTCAGTTCAGGGCACCTTGCATAACCATGTGGCCCACCGCATATGTAGCAACCACCTCTCTTGGCAGTCTCTGCCTTTCTCTCCGCGTCGCCCTGACGTCCAGACTTCTTGCCATCGGACTTATAGGTATCATGCTTCTTTGGGTGTGGCTGCTACTCCTCGACTTTGCCACGATCTCCCCCACCATTATCATGACTACCTCTCATCTCTTCTCCTCCGTCTCTGTTGGGCTTCTCATGCCTAAAGTCTGTCAAAGCTTCGGCCTGCGTGATGACTTCATCGATAGTCCTGACCTGCCGACGTTCCAACTCCGTCCTGGCCCAATTTTGCAGCCCATCCATGAATTGGAAAAACATGTCATCATCCGTGAGGTTAGGAAATTGAAGCGTGAGGGTAGTGAACTCATGTACATATGCACGTATACTGTCCGTTTGCTTTAGCTCCCTAAACTTGCGTTTTGCCTCATAAATGACGTTGTTAGGGAAGAAGGCTTTCTTGAACTCCTCGTGAAATTGCTCCCACGTGTTGATGGTACACGTCTCTTTCCCTATCTCGGCCTCCTTGCGTCTCCACCATAGCATGGCCATCTCCGAAAGATACAACACAACAGTGTTGATCTTACTCTCGTCGTTCTTCAACCTGTTGCACTTGAAGTAATTCTCCAAATGCCATAAGAAGTTTTCCACCTCTTGCGCGACACAGACACCTTTGAACATAAGTGGCTTGGGAGTCTCGACCTTGGCCTCCCTATCTCGGTCAAGCGACAATGATCCTCCAACTTCGACGCCCTCCTTGAGTGCTTTCATCTCGGCCTTCATGGTATCAATCGTGCTCAACGCCTCCATGAGCCGACACTCCAAGGAAGTGACAGCCTCATTCATCTCGAACTCGGCACGCTGGCGTCCCTCAAACTCCTTGCGGATGTTGTCGGTCTCTTCAAGGGTGAAGTCTCCAAGAGTCTTGAACCTTCCGTCGGCCACATTCATGCGTCGGCCTAATATCTCCACGGCCTGCCTCGCCACTTCAACCCTTGCGACCCATTCTTCTCCAGTAGTGACGTCAATGGCCTCCTCGCCAAGTTCATCGTCACTTGCTTTGGTGGTCGAAGGTGGATGAGATGTTAGCGCCTCGTTTGGTGTGTGGTCGAGCAACATTTCCCCATTACTCTTTTGGTGCTTCTTTCCCTTGCGGTTCTTCTTTCCACCATCCGAACGGACGTTGGTGGTGCTAGCGGCGTTTACGTCTCCTTTGTTAGCCATTCCATTAGTACAAACCTCGCTCTGATACCACGTTGTCACGGACTTAGAATTTTCACTAACACTCCGTGCGGCACTTGACAACTTAATCACTATTCTTTCAAGATCTCGTAAGCTCAAGTAAGCATTTTATGCTAAGATCGCTAAGAGAATGAAAGGAAAGACTTAGAAAGATTTAGAAGGTTTGGAAGAAGGCTTTGTATTAGGCTTGGAAGATTAGAATCAGTCTCCAAACAATAACATTCAACAAGTGGTATCAGAGTCTGGTGAATAAGAACGAGGTAGTAACTCAAAAGAGATCCTACAAGCTATCGTCGAAGGCTACAAATCGCGAGGCACTAATTAATGATGGACTTTGCAAGCATTCTCAATAGCGTTGAGAAGCTCAACGTAAGCAACTATGGATCATGGAGCACGAGAATGTAATATTACTTTCTCAGCCAATAATTATGGGATATCATCTGTGGATCAGACACAACACCGCCAACAGATGCTGAAGCAGCAAAAAAGTGGAAGGTCAAAGCTGGAAAGGCCATGTATGCTCTCACTGTAACCATCGAGGATGAGTTCCTACAACGGATTAAGAATGCCAAGACACCCAAAGAAGCTTGGGACACCTTGGCGACGATTTTTACAAAGAAGAATGATGCGAGATTACAAAGGCTTGAAAATGAGCTTTTGTCGATCTCTCAACGGAATATGACAATTAGTTAATACTTCCCAAAGGTAAAATCTTTATCTGATGAAATATCAAAATTAGATCCAGAGAATGCTATCACAGAGACAAGAATGAGGAGAATTATTGTTCATGGTCTAAAGCCGGAGTACAAAGACATAATTACAGCTACACAATGGTGGGCCACAGAACTAACTTTATCTGAGTTGGAAAATTTGTTGGCAAATGAAGAAGATTTGGAGAAGCCATTATCAAGTCTTACTATAAAAAACGAAAATATGGCGCTCTTCAGCAAAAGGCAAGCCTATCAAAAAAGAGAAGCGAAGAGAAGCTCACGGCCAGGGGGAGACCAAGAGAATCAACATCAAAGAACTCAATGACAAAACAAACAGGTGAAAGGCTTCAACAACCGGTAAATACAGAAGTGCTACAATTGTGAAAAGAAAGGACACTATGCGAGAGATTGCTGGTACAAGAAAGCTGAAGGTAATGTAGCTACTTCTACTCAAAATAAGAAAGATGAAGAAGAAGTTTGGGATTTCGAGACCTCTTATGCAGTTGAAGAAACTAATCAACAAGAGGAGCTTGTCACATGTTACTCTAACAAAGAAGAGGAGATTGCACTTGCAACTGTGAGTGAGAAATTGGTCGATTATGAACATGATTGGATCGTTGATTCAGGATTCTCCAATCACATGACTGGTGATGAGAAAAAGCTCATTAACATGAGTGAATATAAAGGCAGTCGAGTTGTGGTGACTGCAAATAATTCCAAAATGCCAATAACTCATATTGGCAAGACGGTGTTTATGCCTCATCACAGCTCAAGACAAGTGGAACTTCAAAATGTCTACCATGTTCAAGGTATGAAGAAGAACTTATTATATGTATCGCAACTAACAAATTCTGGTAACTATGTCTTGTTTGGACCAAATGACGTAAAAGTATATCAAAACTTAAAAGTTACAAGCACACTATCATGGAAAGGAGAAGATTAGAATCAGTCTCCAAACAATAATATCCAACAGTTATAAGTTACGCAGAATCAAAAAGTAGCCTTAATCTTCCTCACAAAGGGTCTGACCATCTTTCTAACGGTAGTTTTTGCCCTCTGTAACGTCAACTCCATGAACTTTATCCACACTTCTATGAACTGCAGATATCTAAGGATTTTGATTGAGAATAATGGGATCTAAGTTGTGAATCTATAATTTATAAGGATTCAAAATCGCGCCTTTACCATGGCAGTTATATGAAGTTGTGAACAGTTGTACTCGTTATTTAGGATCTTTTAAGTTAGTTGGCTCAACTTGGCTCTTCTTGAAAAATAAAAATAACTAAAACTATTCAAAAATGTTTTTTTTTGCTTTCTTAGATTTTAATAAAACACTTTAATTTTTTTTAAATAAATATTTTTACCTTTCGAAAAACGGATAAATTAGCTAAAAATATGAAGAAAGGAGAATGCAAACTCAATTGCGATAATAAGCTTATTATATTATAGATTGTCGTACAAACACAAATTCGTAAAACTTTGTTAGACCAAAACGGATAATACGTGTCATGATATGTATTACCATAATTAATTCAAAATAAGAAAGAAATTGTAGGCTTGTAGCACAACTACCAAAAATTTTGAACTATTGTCTCTACGTGACTATGTAGTTTATATATATACAAAGTCATAACACTGAGAAGCATTGACCAAAATAAGCTATTTTAAAAACCAATTCACCAAACTAATACGCTTTTTAATTTTTTACAAAAGTAGTATAAATGTACTTCATGGTAACGTTTTAGGTTATTTTTATTTTAAAAATTCAACGGACAAAAACTGACGGAGCTGACGACGTTAAATGAATAAACGTTACTGTGAGTAACGTTTTAGGTGTAAAACGTTACTCACAATAACGTTTATTGAGAATCCAATCACGTCAGTCCTGCAAATGCATAAACAAATCCTGCAAATTTAAAACGTTACTATTTTACTAAGAATCCAATCACGGGTCTTCGACTCCTACAAATTTAGAATAAATCCTGCAAATTTAGCTATAAAATGTTACTCATATTATGTTAAGTTCTTACTATAGCTTTAAAATTATTTTTCTAATTTATTAATACTATTTTAAAAAATCTCTTAATAATATGATAAACTTGACTTATTTAATTCATACCTGATGAAGTTTTGTGAATATTATTTTAACAATGGGCAACACAAGTAAAAGTTTTGTTGAATATTGTTGGAATATGCAAAACATTCCTTACAACAACATTTATATTATAATCACATGTGGTCAGTTTAAAAAATGGAGGAATATGACTTTAACAGAGTGTTGTAACTGACAGTCACGTTTTTGAGGTAAAACGTTACTATGAGTAACGTTTTATAGCTAAATTTGCAGGAGTCGAAGACCCATGATTGGATTCTTAGTAAAATAGTAACATTTTACTCCTAAAACGTTACTCACAGTAACGTTTTAGGTGTAAAACGTTACTAGGAGTAACGTTTTAAATTTGAAGGATTTGATTCTGCATTTGCAGGGTTGACGTGATTGGATTCTCAATAAACGTTATTGTGAGTAACGTTTTACACCTAAAACGTTACTCACAGTAACGTTTATTCATTTAACGTCGTCAGCTCCGTCAGTTTTTGTCCGTTGAATTTTTAAAATAAAAATAACCTAAAACGTTACCATGAAGTACGTTTATACTACTTTTGTAAAAAATTTAAAAAGCATATTAGTTTGGTGAATTGGTTTTTAAAATAGCTTATTTTGGTCAAAACTTCTAACACTGAACAGGATTGTGTGCCTTCATGTGGAAAGATATGAGATTAAATAGGAGACAGTTTGTTTTCCACTTATTATTTCAAATTCACGTTACAATTCATATGAGGAGATAACGCTCTTTAACAAGATTTTTTTTTCATATTCAACGCTCGAATCAAGATCTCTAGCTAAGGGTAGACGAATTATATCCATCCACCACATTAATCCTCTATTGGAAAATTGCTTTTGTATTCAACATGACTCAAATCTGACACCACATATTAAGAATGAAAAAACTACTCATATATAATTCCGCCATAATCCTTAATTGTATGTCAAACACATGAACCAATCAATAGTGTACAAACAACTCTTGAATTTTCAAGTACCATTCCTACTACAAATGGACTTGTAAATTCATAGTACATTAATAGGAACCAAAATCAAAAGCCATTAGTAATGAGTTAATATCATTGAAACATAACAGAATTTTTAAGGAAATGAAAACTAGCCATGTTATATGATGGTGCTAGACTTGATATTTGGATCATAGTGGACAAATAATCAATGATCAACAGTAGGGGTGTTCACGGGCCGGTTTGAATCGGTTATTGGTCAAAACCAAAACCAAACCAACTTAATCGGTTTTAAAATTATCAAAACCAAACCAAACCAAATATAGTATATATTTATCGGTTTGGTTGTTATCGGTTTTGGTTCGATTTGGTTTGGTTATTCGGTTATTAACCATAGACAAAAATAAAAGAAATAATTCATTCAAAAAATGAAAAAAGTGACAACGATCCATTTAAAATGAAAATAGTTAGAATGACTGACATTACAGAAATTTCAATCATTTAATTTACTCTGATTAAAGCTTCAAAATTCATTATTTTGGCCTAGAAGAAAGAGAAAGTGATATTTTCAATCTTATAAAGAATTGTCATAGACACACTCATATACATAAAACCAATAAGATAAATATCATCACCTTGGGCATTTTTTCAGTAAATTATAAATTAATTTTGATGAAAACATATATAGGATCTTTAAAATTGCTTATAAAAACAATAAGTTATGTATGTATATTAATAATATATATGTATATAATTTGTCGGTTCGGTTCGGTTATTTCTTCGGTTTTTTTCGAACAAAACCATAACCAACCCATATACTATCGGTTTTTAAAAATCTAAAACCGAACCACACCTAACCCAAATAAAAATCGGTTTATTTAATCCGTTTGGTTCAGTTTTTCGGTTTGGATCGGTTTTTATCCAAACCGTGAACACCTCTATTCAACAGTATATTCTTGGACTAAGTATCCACTAATTAGAATTTAACATTGGTTAATCAACTCTATTAGCATCCTTGGACTAAGTATCCACTAATTTTCTTGTATTCAATATATCTACCTTCTAATTAAGGCTAAGAGATTGACCAGAATAAAAGTGTCCCAAATTATGAAATAGCAACTTGTAATTAGGAAGGCCATTATGAAATACACCGTGAAGTACTCATTAAACCTATATAAACATCAACACTAGCTAAAGCTAAAATTATCCTAGTTCCATGATGTAAATTAATTATGACCATAATTTTTTTTATTAAAAAAAACTATTTGTTTGTTGATATTTCACAACAGCCAATGAGCAGAAATATTGGACTTTTTTCCTCCTGTATTAATTAGAGTACAAGTGATGGAAAAATTTATATCTCTCTGTTTTTGTTGTTGAACAAGCAACTAATATCAACTTGATTATAACTAATTACAATATTTAATTATATATAATAGCATAATTGATGTAATTTCACATATGAGGTTTGAAGAGGATAGTGTGTTACTGACTTTATTCATATCTTGTTGTTAGTACTATCCTTTTCTCTATTAATTTCATCACGATTTCTTCACTAATGTATTTCTGAAAACAACATCTCTCCCTTATGTCGAGGACAAGAAGAGATTATGATGTACGATGTTTTCATCGTTCTCTCCATCTTCTTAGATTATGGACTCACAAGATACTTGAAATGTTCTTCTTTGAATAGAACGTGTACATCGATCTTTAGTATTTTCACCTTCGCTTTATGTGTTTGATTATTAAATTTGCACTCCAAATATTCTATTTCAATCCCGCTATTACCAATAACAACTTTGTTCCAAGTAATATATATATCTACTATTTTGGATCTTTCACTTATTTTGGTTAGCATATATGTTATCACAAGCCAACAAAGCCATTTTAGATAGTTCAGTTCTAAGAATCTTCCACAAATAGTCTTAATCACATAAATGATCTTCTTAGGCAGCACAAAGCTTCCAAACTAACTCTGACTAGAGGCGGATTCAGAATTTTTATTAAAAGATTCAAAATATGAAGAATTCAAATTTCGAAGGAAATTCAACATCTATTATATATACATAAAAATCATTTTAACTATGTATAAACAATATAATTTTCTACTAAAGAAGGTTTGGATGAACTCCTCGACCCTACCTAGCTCCAGACTCTAATTACTAATTTGACTTTTTCTTTTCTCAATATTTTATATCCTAATTGTCTCTAGTGGCAGCTAATTAACAACACAATTATGAAGACTTGGGAGTTGATTTAGTTTTTTTATATGCGTTGTAGTATGTGGTATTTATATTACTCTGGCTTCTAATTGTTGTTAGTGGTATTTAAAAAATTAAGTAGTAGTAGTAGTAGTAATAGTATTTTTATTATTATTATTCTTTGAAGGAATAAAATACAATAAAATAGTAAGTAGTACTATACTATATAATATATGAAAATGAGGGTTATTTGTATGGCAATTATAATCAATCACCTATATATATATAGAAAGACTTATATGCAGGCTCAGTATTTATAAAAATCCTTCATTATCATTTTTGAGTACCACAAATTAGCTCAATTTCATAACAACATGAAGGTAATTATTATCAATTCCTTAATTACAACTTTTCTTCATTTGTCTTATTTTAATTTTTTTCTAATTAATGATTAATGTTATATATAGGAAAAGATTGTGATCGATATAACTCTCAGCACTGATAATCGTTTATCAAAGGCAAAGGCTATGCAAATTGCTGTAAAATGTGCAGGTATTTATGCCTATTTTTTCCTTTTCAAAAAAAGAAATGATTTTTATCGTATCAAACCTGCCTTTTATGGGAAATTGATCTGAGGCGTATTTAAGGGAGAGGTGTTGGGTCACGTATAGTCATGTATAATAATGTTATATGTATTCACTGTATCTTAAATACATATATGTGTGCACCTGATAAATTTAATTTTCAAATATGTCTTTTTTATAATAGTGAACATGTTTTTTTGAAATTTAAAATTCGCGTTTGATGCATTTGTAGGGGTACTATCGGTGAATTCAGACAAAGAAAAAGGGCATTTGGTGGTAATTGGAATTTGTGTGGATTTTTTTAAATTGATGAAATAATAAAGAAAAAATTCAACTGTGCGCGCATTGTGAGCGTAGAAGAGGTAAAACCCGAAAAGAAACCCGACCCAAAACCGCAACCAGTTTGCTATCCAAACCCATGTGTGCAGTATTATCCAGTATGCCGACCCGTTTATGATTCTCCTACTCCAAATTGCACCACTATGTAAAAAAACAATTTTAATTTATTGTATCGTATTATTAAATATGTTATTACGTAATAATTAATTTGGTGTGATGGAATTATGATATTTCTCTTTATTACTTTTTCCTTGCTTATGGAATATTTATTTTTATAATTTATTGGTGACAACTGATAATTGTGGTGAATGATAGTGATAGTCAATCATAATAATGATAACTGAGGAATATATCATAGTGATTGATGACGTTGATTGTTTATAGTAATTGATTGCAATTGTATTAATGATTGTAAATAGTAGTCGGTAATAGTGATGGTTGTTTGAGGTGATTGACGATATGGTGGTGGTTGTAGTTGAGGATGATGGTAATTGATAATGATGAAAAGTGGAATGATTAAGATTTTAACTTAAAAAGTAAACAAATTTAATGAATTACATCTGAATAGCTGAAATTTAGACCTCTATAAGTGTAAGCAAATTAGATTTTCACCTCACAAACCAGATAACAACAATCACAAATCCTTAACATTCAACATTGTTGGTATTGCTAAAGATCTTCATCTCTTCTGCATATTTTCTCCGCGTTGTCCATAATACTCGTGGAAGTTCCATAAGAAATTTTGATCACATATATATTCTTTGTTGCCATTGCTACTAGCTAGTGTGACTGCTTATATAAGGCACACATAGTAGCAACTTTCAAGGGCTTCTGTGACATTTTTTTGTCATCCAATTTCAGTTACAACGACGTTGTAAATTTGCTGTCGATCATTCTTGATAATGCAGAGGTTCTGTTATGCAGACTGCATCACTTTGTCTATATATTTGCACTGATCTACCCCCTGTAAGTCTTGTTTGAGGCAAGGTCCAAGACCATTTCTCAATTTGTGCATGTCATCCTTGCACATGAGTCATGCTAATCTTCTCTGTATCATTCCAATTTTATCAGATTTCCTCGAAGGGACAGGCAAGGTCCAAGAGATTTGTGAATAGAACAATTATTTCTACTTATTATTGAAATAGAAAGGTATAAAAGAAAAAGTGATTTGTGTATGTACTTAGGTGCTTCTTGTATGTCCTTCTTTGCTATCTCAGCTACTTTTGAACCACCAGAGATGATTTAATATATTCCATTTGCTAGCTGGCTGCCATTTTGTAGAAACATATATTGCAATCTTAAAGCAATATACTAAAGAGGTATCAATAAAAGTGCCTCATACTATGCTGCTTGGACTCTTCGAAAATATCGAGGGTACATTTTAGATCCTCCAAAAGTAGTGCATTTTTTGAGTATCCGACACATGAAGATGTCATGGCTTGAGAAATATAGAACTAGAATCCCAATTACCAACTCTACAAACTTCTTCAGAAAACAATTGATGATTTCTTCCCATCTGTTTAAGTCTTGTAAGGAGGTAGCATGTACTCGGTGGAATAGTCAAGTGTGTACAACCTGACTCGAACACCACTATTACCAACTTCACAAACCCCTTCTGGGGGGAGGGGGGGCAGGAAGGTGGGTGGGTGGGAAGTTTCCTGTGGCAAAACTAAAGAAAAAGAGACAATTGTCTAATTGATCCAACCTTTTGCCTTTCAATTATTGAACTATACTGCAGGAAACTTCTAGTGCTAAACAACTAAGTTTCCTTTAATCTTGAATATAGAAAAAAATGAGAATTTATATAGCCGATCTCAACTTGCTTGGCATTGAGAAACATAGTTTTTGTACTTGACATAATAGAAGGAATCTGGAAAATCAAATCAAATTGCTGTACTAAAGTATGCAATATACAGAAGTAATCATTTTTTTTTCACCTCTTTGTTCTACAACTATGTGTAATAAGAGCACCAGTAGGTGGACTTGTCATCTCTAATTGACATCTCCCATGTAACCAATAAGAGTAATGAATTAGGCCAATATTAACTCTGACCTTAAAAGTTCCTCTGATGTTATACACAACTCTGTTGATAAGTACCTGTTTTTGTAGCTTGAAGGCTGAAATTGGTGGCAAATAAACCAAGCTAGATATCATGTGAACTTGTACTAATCGTGTTTCGCGTTGCCTCTGACTGAAAGGTTGAAGAACTTGTGTTGCTATTAAGCTATCTGAGAAAAAAAGTTCAATGACCAAATGCTCAAATCTCATATCAAGTTTCTTGTTTGGATTGGTGAAATTTGCTATAAATGTGAAGTCACCATTCATATACTTAGGTGAGTCTAAGTATATGACACTTAGGCTTGCATTTGATGTATCAAACACTGGATTTCTTGGTTTGATAGATAGAAAAATGACTAAAGTTCCAATACCAAATATTATTAGTAGTAGGCAGAACATCATGCATAGTATTGCAGCACACCACACTGCAGGATTTGTACGTCTACGTTGTCGTGGCACAACATATTGTACTATTGGTTTATTCTTGATTTCATGTGACATTTCTGGTGTCAAAGGTTGATTGAGGGCTTGTTTTGCCATGATGATTTGGCTCATAGGCGATGGACCGCCACGTTTATGAGTTGGTGCTGGTGTTGGTGATGGTGTTAGAGGAAACATTTTAGGTGTACTATATTCAGGAGAAAAGAAACTTAAGCTCTCTGAGGAAGTCATATTGGCTTAATGAATTATGAAAGGAAAGATGAACAAATGAATGTTGGATCTATTTATTATAAGATAATGATACTAATAATGGAGTTTGGAATTGGATTAAGGAAAGTAAAAGGGAAAGAAACTTTTTTGGTTGGTTTTAATATTTAATAATAGTATATGATAAAGGTGTAATGTGAGTAGGAACTAAAGTTGGGAGATAGATGTTTTCATTTGAATTGTTTGTGTTGCTTTTTTTTTCCATAGTTGAATCACTGTATTTATTCAGAAAAAAAAAAACACTAAAGCTAGTGCCCCACCCAGGCCACCACAGGGCTCTATAACTTTTGTTTTTTCCGGTTCAGTTTGTGCGCGCCTCGACTATTATTTTTCGACTCATGCTATATTCCATGAGGTACATGTACTGAATAATTCTGCCTATCGATATTTAGGCACACAAGATTATCTAATGTTTGCTAGAACCTTTAAAGTTGCTTGAATTATGCAAATGTGCCCTTTTTAGGTCATTGTTAAGATTTTATCCCTATTTATAAAGTTGTGGAAATATAGCCTTTGGAAAATTATCATTTCATGCAACATAAGATTCAGATCTAATATTTGCTCATATATTGTTCAGAAAACACAAACAGTCATTTGACATTTGTAATAATATACAAAATTTTATATCATAGACTAATGATTTTCGTAAAAATATAATCTATTCAAAAAGAGACTTTTTAGATTGTAATTTAAAAAATTTATAAAATATAAAATAATTTATTTCATTGATCATTAAATCACACACTCGTGTGGACCATGGTTACACCCAACTTTTGTTTTGGGTGGTCTTAGTTGCACTTTACACTTTTTTTATCTTGAAATTCTACTAACTTGTAGAGCATTGACCTGTCAAATGGAGAACAGTTGGATTGTATTGGTTAGACAAAAAATATTGCAATTCTGCAGCATAAGTTGCCTTTTTGATTTGATAATACTTGCACACTAAGAAAGTAGAAAGAAAGTCAGAAAACTATGTGGTTAAGAAAAAAATCATTATTCTTATAATGATTAAACAAAGAAAAAATTATAGTTAAGTGGCTGCTTTTATTGTTTCTAAAAAGCATAACAATAGGTCATGGGTTCGAGTTGAAGCTCACAAGATTATTGATTTTCCATGGTCTAAATCTAATGATAAAATATTAGATTACGGTCAAAAATTTAATAAATGTAAGATTACAATTGATGTGATCTGAAGGGGAGTCTATAGTAACGGTAAAGGTATTTTCGTGTGACCTATAAGTCACATGTTGAGTCGTGAAAGTAATCACTAATGTTTTTTTTTATGTTAGATTGTATAAATTACATCCCTTAAGGTGCGGCCCTTCTCCTAACCATGTGTAAATACGAAATATTTTATGCACTTCATTATTTAAGATTATCACATACTAGTATTTTGTCAGTTACAAGGGCTATATTTGTACTACTTTAAAAATTTGAACAGAACTTAAATAACAACCAAAAAAGGGTACATTTTAGCAACAAAATCCCACATTACTACTGGGCCAGTCACACTTGGGCCAACTTGCAAAGCCCAAAACACCTGCTTCCCCCATACAATATGATGTTGTATATATTCAGTAAACAAAGTTTAATATATACTTGACTTATACAGTTACGTTATACATAAAATAGAAATACAAAATATTAAAAGGAGAACTTAGAAAGAGTTACACATTGAAAGTGAACGTTGTGATATTTCAAGGTGCCAAAATTTATGGGATATGAGATTTTATTTTACCAAAGTTGGGGAATTTCTTATCTAAAATCTATATCTGGTAACTATAATTAGAATGTTTGTTAAGTAATTTGATTTGAACTTTTAAAATTTAAACTGTATCACTCATTCAAGTGAATACATGAAGAAATGGAAAGAAAAATTTAAAAATAGCATTGACATCAAAATTAGTACCATATGCTCTTTTTAACTCGAATGCTATAGAAAAAAATGTTTCGATATCTCTTCAAAATTTGGTATGACGAAAAGAAATCAAAGTTAATATCACATGATTCTTTTTTGTTTGAAGGCTTTAGCTAGAAATATTTCAATATAACTATTTGAAATTTGATTTTGATGAAAAGAAGACTGGCATTAATAACATATGACTCCTCTAGCTAGAGATGGTTCGATATAAACCTTCAAAATTTAATTTGACGAAAAGAAGAAAAGAAGCTATTATCACATGCTCCTTTTAATTTGAAGACTTTAATTAAACTCTTTAAAATTAGATTTTGACGCAAAGAAAACGAAGATGATATCATATAATTTTTAAAATTCGAGACCTCTAACACAAAATGATTCAACACAACCTTATACAATTTGAATAAGAAAAATAACACTACAAATATTTTGTTTTTCAAATTTCATACCTGTAAAAATAAAAATCACAGTGAACAACAAAAATCAATTTAATACAGTATCTTAATTCCATCAATCAAATCAAATAATTGAAACTTTCATATTCCTTTTCCTTCCAAGATAAGCTTAAAAGACAGACACGATCATTGGATCGTACACCAAAAATCCTGTGATTCCCATTTTACCCATTGATACCACAAGAAGCAAAACTCATATAACCCGTTAAATTTTAATGTCAAATCCGTAATTACACTCAACTTCAGCCCTTTTTACCCAAATTCAATTTTTCTTTTTCTCTTTTTTGGCTACATAAACAGAGTAGAATCAAAAAGAAAAAGAAACTGCACTAGCTATGGCGGAAGCAGAAGAAAACCCAAAAGTGATCAATGAAGAAGAAGAAGAGAAAATTATTCAACATTACTCTTCATATCATCAAATACTCTTAGTGGGTGATGGAGATTTTTCTTTTTCTCTCTGTTTAGCTCAGGTTTTTGGTTCTGCTTCGAACATTGTTGCTTCGTCTTTACAATCATATGGTAACTGTTTTTACACTATTTCCTTTCTGGGTTGTGTTTGTTTTGCTTAATCTATGATGGGGTTTTCGCGGAGTTTAATTTTTTTGCCCTTTTTTGTTGTTGTGTGTAGTTGAAGTGATCAAAATGTACAAGAATGGGAAATCGAACTTGGAAAAGTTGAAATCTTTGGGAGGAACTGTGTTGCACGGTGTGGATGCAACTAAAATACAGCTTCATTCTGATCTTAGTAACCGGAAGTTTGATCGGATTATCTATAATTTTCCTCATGCAGGGTTTCATGGCAGTGAGGATAGTGATCATCTTATACAGTAAGGTTCCCTCTTTTTGTGTTATGCTGTTTAAATTCTGCTTGTATGTATGATGTATGCAGTGTCATCACACAAATGGGGTTTATGTAAATAGTTTTTGTGCGAGGGTTTATCGGAAATAGACTCGGTAACTTGTCAAGTTAGGGGTAAGGCTTGTGTATACACTACTCTGTTCAGACCCACTTGTGGGATTGCATTGGGTTTGTTGTTGTTGTAGGGTTCATGTATATACATAAAAAGATTTTTAACCTTGTATATATGGTGTGATATACACAAAATAGGATGTTTAACATGGGGAATGAGGTTCGGATGTACCCCTTACACCCCTCTAGTTTCGCGTCCTGGATGTATGCAACATTTTTCCGTGGGATTGTTGAAATGAAATATACATTTTCAAATTATTTTCGTGTTAGAGGAAGGTAGCATGTATAAGAGTAGAAGGTGGAGTTTGTAGCCTAGTGGTTAATAAAGTGGATGAAAACTGTGGGAGACCATGATTCAAACTCTTGAAGAGACAAAAGGCTTAGGTATTTTCTTCTCATTTCCCAAGTGTTGGTGGTTAGAATCACCTAACCACAAGGTAAAATAGTCGAGTTGCATTGACATCACCCTTGAAGAAAACGAGTAGAAGGTGGAGGGATAGAGTTGCATTTAGGTTTTAAATTAGTGCCTCTACTCTGCACCCATACCAAATATACATTTTTGACAGTTTTGTTGCAAACAATGAGTGTGGTGTACCATTGTGGATGAGGATAGGAATGGATGGAGTAGGATGTTTAGGATATCGATGGTGAAGATTCACGGCAATGAGTTGGAGCTTGTAGAGGACCTGTACCCTTAAAAGACAAAGTTGTTTTCTTCAATCCAAGCAAGCAAATATTGTAAAGTGTTTTCATCAACACAGAGGCCAAACACTCTTATTAGTTGGGACCATCTCTTTATGACCATTCTTTTTTGGCTCATTCAGGCCAATTTTGATCACACTGGGAAGGGAAAAAATTCCGTATGCTGAAAGTATTGGCTTCTATCCTCTAGGCTAGTTTCTTAATTACCCTTTTTTTTCCACTGGATTTTGCATTTTCTCAATGTATTGTGTGCCTTTTTGTCTTTGTGCAGAATGCATCAGAAGCTTGTGGGACGTTTTTTTGGGAGTGCCAAGAAACTGTTGCGAGTTGATGGTCAAATTCATGTAACACATAAAACGTGTCTTCCATACGACCTTTGGAATCTTGTTGGACTTGGATCAGGAAACTCCTTGATGTGTATCGAATGTGCTGATTTCAAGATTGAAAATTACCCTGGTTACAACAATAAAAGAGGAGCTGGTTCAAAATGTGATGAGCCTTTTCATTTGGGTGAGTGCAATACCTTCAAGTTTAAATTCGACCCATCTCGTAAGAATGTGCCAAGAACAAAACACAAGAAACGCTTTTTACATGCACCATCTCAGAATCTTCTAAACGTTCCCAACTCCATAAGTCCTCCGATTTACTCCTTCCAACAGCCACTAAGTTGGATTGACAGTAGAAATTCTCCAACTTGTGTCATCAATGGCATGAACGGTTTTCCAAGTTATGCATATCAGAACTTTCAAAAAGTTCCCAACTCCATAAGTCGTCCGATTTGCTCCTTCCAACAGCAACAAAGTTGGATTGACAGTAGAAATTCTCCAACTTGTGTCATCAATGGCATGAACGGTTTTCCAAGTTATGCATATCAGAACTTTCAAAAAGTTCCCAACTCCATAAGTCCTCCAATTTACTCCTTCCGTCCATCTTATGTGAATGACATGAATGGTTTTCCAAGTCATGTTGGTTTACCTGCAAGGCATGACCCCATAAGTGAACTTTTCAGGATCTTTAAGCCGTATTTCAGTTATATTCAAGAAACATTTGGAAGAGTGGACACTAATGTTGAAGTTTCAGTTCGTCGAGCTCTACATCATGGTGCTATGAGGTTCGGGGACGAGACCGGGAGGCCCCCTGTAGATTACTTGGAAACTTTGGAAGAGCTTCATTGTTGGAGCCGGTCAAGAATTCTGAAGTTACAACAGAGATTCATCGAAGGCTGATTGAGCAACATGGTATGGGACTTTACCTATAAATTATGTGAATAACTAGATATGCTTATGCAAGTAGTTGTTAATTAACTCTCCTTACTTGGGAGTGCAAAATAAATGTCTCTCTTAATTATGCTGAAAGATCTTAATCACAAATGAATATTCTGAAGAGCTTGTTTGATAAAGGTTGAATTATGTGCAACAAAGCTTGAAATTTGATATTTTACTATATATGCTTGATACTAAGTTACTACTTTTAGGGGTTGTTTGGTGTGATGGATAAAGGGAGTTAATTCCGGGATAAATTTTGAGCACACCCTTTAATCCTTTGTTTGGTTGCACAGCATGGGATAACTTATACCAAGATTAATAATTAGTTCTGATCTAAGTTATCCCTATCTTTGGGTGGAATAGTAATATCGGGATAACTTATGCTGGTATAAGATAGATAAAATGACAAAAGTGTCCCTTTAAACTCTTTTTATACCTAATTTTTTATATCCATGTAAAATCATATATTATTTTAAATATCATGTATAATAATAGTTATGACCTTCACTACTCCTTATTTTTATTATAATAATTCTTCATATTTTAAAAAAAATTACACTATATAAATATAATTTTTATTTATGAATTTATTTGACTAATTTTTATATTTATTTATATTTTAATTTAATTTCCTTACTATCGAATTACATATTTTTAATAGTATATTCTTTTAGCCACTTGAAAATTTATATTTTATATATCAATTAAATGTGAGATAAAACGAAATGCTATGATACTAAATACAAGCTTCCTGTGCAGTTTTCTCTAAAATTAGTTTATATTGGTATTCTTTTTAGCTAGATCTTTTGTGTATTTTTATTTTTTTTATCTTCTTTTCATCTCATGTACGCTAATTTCGGGAAGAATTCTATTGTTAGTTAACATAAATTTTGAAGGAAATAGTAACATGAAAGATGATTTAAAAATGAAGATAACTTTAGTATTTTACAATTTAAGAATGAAACGTGTTTTAAATGAAGTAACATAAATAATAAATCATTTTGTACTTCAACAAATTTAGATGAAAATTTTATTCTTAAATACAGTTGGTACAATTATGGAAATGCGCACACACAAATATTTAAGCTAAATAAGACAAAATTTATTTTTAAGAATAAATAACTACTGGTTGAATAGAAAATATATATAAAAAAAAACTAAATAAATTGAAGGGTATTTTCGTAAACAAACAACTTATTCGTAGAATTTATGTAATGCATATTGTATTGAAAGCAACCAATCAAACGGTCAATAAGAAATAATTTCAGCATAACTTATCTCATCCTAACTTATTTCATCATAACTAATCACATCATAACTTGTATTCAAACCAAACGACCCCTTAGTATTTTGTGTTCTAATACATTCTAATTGTGTTTAGTACTACTTGTGTGTTGTAGAGGGTTTATCGGGAACAACCTCTCTACCTTCTCAAAGGTAAGGGTAAGGTGTCTGTACACTCTACGCTCCTCGGACCCACCTATGAGATTACACTGAGTTTGTTGTTGTTGTCGTAGTACTTATTGTGTATTGCCAAGAAAGCTCAAGTGGCCAAGGGTCTATGTACTTTAACCAAGATTTGAGTTATACTTAAACAAATACAACATGTTCGATATTTTGCTTATCTATTGTTTGGATGGTCGTTACAGTGCAATACAATACGATACTATATATTATGAAACGATATGTAACAACCATCTAATCAAGCTGTAAATCAACAGTCGAGAATGAATAGTTTAAGATTTTTCATTTTGCTTTGTCAATTGTTATAACCTAATATGTACTTTGTTGATTTATACTATACTTATTGCAATTTTATGTGGTATAGACATTATGTGTTGCATGATTCTTCGTTGTTTAAGATAGTGTCCCTGAGGGGTTTGGTTGAGTGATAAGAGTGCAACAAGTGATGTGTGAGTTAGTTGGACATCACGGATTTAATAGATGGGTGAGTTCATTATTCATCGAGTTACAAATTTGGTGCCACTGACCCTCTGAATGGTGTGGGGGTAAGGGAAGAAACAATTAGCGTGAACTGTCATTTATGATGCTTGGTTTTCTAATTCTCACCTTCTCTCTATTTTAATCAACTTATTTTAAAAAAAAAAAATATTTTAACCAGCCAAAAATTTGAAAAATATTTTCAAATAAATGTTTTACCAATACCAAACACACCCATAAGGCCATAATTATGATTTAAGAGTTACATTGTGATTTGGTCTTCTATATAGGAGCCCAAGTTGTTTGGGATGTTGGGACCATCCTAGTACATAAACCTAGTATTATTTTTAAAAAACAAGTACAATATATAATAATTGAACAAGTGGATATTATATATATCATATATCAAAGTTGAAAGTTTCTATAATTATTATTTTTCTCTATATGGTTTATGGAAATATTACTATTGGTTTATAAATCATTAGGTAAGACAACGACTAATGAAGTTTCATATCTTAGTTGATGAAAACGATTTACCTCCTTAATTTTAATTTATTAAAAATCAAATTCCTCCTTTAATTATGAATATTGACGTTATACTTAGATAAGAGGATATGGAAATTGAAGATTAGTAGATGATCGAGTGTTGTTTAGTTTTTCTTATCAACTTTAGTATTAATATTACTGTTCTATTATCTTATTCTTCGAATAAAATTTGTACTTGTGGTTTTCTTTGCTTCCGTTATTGTATTATTTGTTGTTGCTACTATTCTTTTCTCTATTATTTTTAGTATGCTTTCTTCACTACTGTATTCCCGAAATAACATCTCTCCCTTATGTCGAGGATGAGGAGACATTCAATACGATGTACGACATTTTAATTTCATCGATCTTTCCTTCTTCTTAGTTTATGGACTCACAGGATATTTGAATTGTTCTTCTTTGGATATGACTTCTACATTGATCTTCGATACTTTCATCTCTGTTTTATGTGTCACGTACTAAATTTGCACTCGGAATACTCTATTTAGTCCATCATGTTTACCAATAATAACTTTGTTCCAAGTATCCTAATAAATATATCTACTATATAATTTGGATCTTTCACTTATTTTGGTTAAGCATATATGTTATCACAAGCCAACAAAGCCTTTTTAGATAGTTCAGTTCATAAGAATCTTCCACAAATAGTCTTAATCACATAAATGATCTTCTTAGGCAACACAAAGATCGATTCCAAACCAAATAGTTTGAATAAAAAAACAATAAACTCTCACGAGTGATGGATTTAGAATTTTTACTAAAAGATTTAAAATATAAAGAATTTGAATTTCGAAAGGGATTCAACATATATTATATATACATAAAAATAATTTTAACCATGTATAAACAATGTAATTTTCTACTAAAAAAGGTTTGGATGAACTCCTCGACCCTACCTAGCTTCGGACTCTAATTACTAATTTGACTTTTTCTTTTCTCAATATTTTATATCCTAATTGTCTCTAGTGGCAGCAAATTAACAACTCAATTAAGAAGACTTGGGAGTTGATTTAATTTTTTATATGCGTTGTAGTTTGTGGTATTTATATTACTATGGCTTCTAATTGTTGTTAGTGGTATTAAAAAAATTAAGTAGTAGTATTAATAGTATTTTTATTATTATTATTCTTTGAAGGGATAAAATAAAATAAAATAGTAAGTAGTACTATACTATATAATATATGAACATGAGGGTAATTTGTATGGCAATTATAATCACCTATATATATAGACTTATATGCAGGCTCAATATTTATAAAAATCCTTCATAATCATCTTTTGAGTACCACAAATTAGCTCAATTTCATAACAACATGAAGGTAATTACTATCAATTCCTTAATTACAACTTTTCTTAATTTTTCTTATTTTAATTTTTTCTAATTAATGATTAATGTTTATATATATAGGAAAAGATTGTGATCGATATCACTCTCAGCACTGATAATCGTTTATCTAAGGCTATGCAAATCGCTGTAAAATGTGCAGGTATTTATGCCTATTTTTTCCTTTTCGAAAAAATAAAATGAATAATGACTTTTGTTGTATCAAACGTGATGGGAAATTGATCTGAGGCGTATTCAAGGGAGAGGTGTTGGTTCACGTGTAATCATGTATAATAACATTATATGTATTCACTTAATCTTAAGTATACATATGTGTGCACCTGATAAATTTAATTTTCAAATACGTCTTTTTATAATAGTCAACATGATTTTTTGAAATTCTAAATTTGCGTTTGATGCATTTGTAGGGGTACTCTCGGTGAATTCAGATAAAGAAAAAGGGCATTTGGTGGTAATTGGAATTGGTGTCGATTTTTTTAAATTGATGAAATGTATAAAGAAAAAATTCAACTGTGCTCGCATTGTGAGCGTAGAAGAAGTGAAACCCGAAAAGAAACCCGACCCGAAACCGCAACCAGTTTGCTATCCAAACCCATGTGTGCAGTATTATCCAGTATGCCGACCCGTTTATGATTCTCCTACTCCAAATTGCACCACTATGTAAAAAAAACAATTTTAATTTATTGTATCGTATTATTAAATATGTTATTATGTAATAATTAATTTGGTGTGGTGGAATTATGTTGTTTCTCTTTTTTACTTTTTCCTTGCTTATGGAGTTTTTACTTTTATACTTTATTGGTGATAGCTGATAATTGTGGTGCATGATAGTGATAGTCAATTATAATAATGATAATAGATAGCGTGGGAATATATCGTAGTTATTGATGACGTTGATTGTTTATAGAGATTGGTTACAATTGTAGTAATGATTGTAAATGGTAGTCGGTAATAGTGATGGTTGTTTGATGTGATTGACGATATGGTGGTGGTTGTAGTTGAGGATGATGGTAATTTATAATGATGAGAAGCGGAATGATTAAGATTATAACTTAAAAAGTGAACGGATTTAATGAATTACATCAGAATGATTGAAATTTAAACCTCTATAAGTGTAAGCAAATTAGATTTTCACCTCACAAATCAGATAACAACAACCACAAATCCGTAACATACGCAACGTAATATCATAAATAGAAACTTGATGTAGACGATAAACCTTACCCCGAACTATTTCGAAGCCTCCCCAGCCGGATAACATTTGTTAATTGTTTGTGCTCAAGTTGAATCACTAGATTTTAAATCTGATAAGTACCATTTAAAATCTTTTACTAATTTAAAGTGAAATTAACTTAACTTATCACTAAATCCCAAACTGAAACATAATTAATCATAGGGTGTATCTCACCTAAAATATAAAGTGATATTTAAATTAAAAGCCAATTTGTCGAATATCTAAATAATGAGTAATATTTTTCTGTTGGCCTGTGGCATCAATAAGATTGTTTTTTTCTTTCTCTTTAATTTATCATATTTATTTAAATAGGAGTAGACAAATACATATAAATATTTTCCTTTTAATTTAGTCCATCTCCCAAGTCTTGCTTTTCTAGATCTTTGACTTAGATTGAATATTTATAAAATTTGTATCTTTTTTTTTTCTTCCTATAGATTTTTAAGTAGCGTGTTTCGTAAAGAACATATTTCTTTTTATAACTTTTGAGTTTCAACTTTTCACGTAACATGTTTAAGATTACAAGATTAAAGGAGATTTCAGTACATTCTACGTATCTTTAGTTTAAGATTTCTTTAATTTCTTAAACTTTGTGTTAAGTTAAAATTAGACAAATAAATTGAAACAAAGAAAATATAATGTTACTGCTTTGTTTTTGTTATATTTTGCTCTTACAAGTTTGAAATTTATTTGAATCATGAGAATAGTTTCAACTTTCAAGGAATATTGTTTAAGATAAAATAATACTACATGTGTTGGTCCAAAATGAATTGCTGGGGAAGTATAAAAATCCAGTCCAAGAAAATGGGATTTTTGTAAGGCCCAAATAGTATCACAGCAATTCACTAATATCACTACAAATCAGTATGTAAAATTATATTTGAACAAGAACTTAAATTTTTTAACTTTACATACTGATTTGCTATGGATATTGTTCTAAAATTGAGTTTCAATGAAAAAAATTATGATAGAACTTTATTGATCGAATGAACTTAATCACATCTTATCTATATTGTCCATACTTTAGATATTCAGTATTGGATGTGTGGGAGGAGATCAAGTGTTGAGTCTTATATTGATGGAGGCTTTGATCATTTCTCTCCTTATATGGTTTGGGAAAATCCGTAGATATGTCTTAAGCTAACTTTTGAGATTGAGTTAAGCTCAATATCCACTTTCTTATCGGTTTCCTTTAATTAATATCAGTATTTTCTGCTATTCATTTCTTCCCACTCATTCATCCAGGGCATAATGTAGTAACATCAATATACTATATCTCATATATATATATATATATATATAGTACGTTAATTCCGTGGGTTATACTTTTAGAAATACATGCATGTTTGATATTCTGCTTACTAATCAACAATCAAGAAGTTTGAAATTTTACATTATATTAATTCTACTTAGTCAATTTTATGTGGTACATCATTTATCAAAGGATAAATATACCCTCGAACTATCGTAAATTGTATGTAGATACCCTTCGTCATATTTTTGGGACATTGGTGCCTCGGCCGTCCAAAAACTAGAGCATATATGCCCTTCACTTTAACGGAGGACACGTGGCGCAATCTTATCTGTCGATACGATATTTGATAAATAACGGGTTGGTGGATAAGATTATGACACGTTTATGTCTGTTAGTATAAAGGGTATATATGCTCTAGTTTTTGGACGGCAGGGACACCAATATAATGTCCCAAAAGTATGACGGAGGATATCTGCATACCTAATTTTACGATAGTTTGGGGGTATATTTATACTTTTTCCCTTTATTAAATGATCTTTCTATGCTTAAGATAGTTTGATTGGTTTCCTGGTTTAGCGGTAAGAGTGAAGCATATGATATGGGGTTAAGCGCACCTTACATGCTTGAATCATATGTTACATATAAAAACTAGTATTAATTAAGTGGAGATGAATAGAGAGACGAATCTATTGTCCATCGAATTTTTAACTGTGTGCCACTAACTCTTCAGGATTTCTCGATAATAGGTAAAGAGATACGGCTATTGTTTATCTTTCTCTATTAAAAAAATACTATTTAACTTGCTTGCATGCATGCTGCATGCGTGATCTGTTATTCGCTCTGTAACATTAATTAAATTGACTCTCGAAAAATGAATCATAATAACTAATTAGAGACAAGCGTGTAACACCCAACGTCACTAGCATTCAATTCAATCTATACAAAAGACGTCATTGTATTTCGCAAGAACAAAAATCGTGCGCGCAGGAGGTGAAAAAAATACACGACATTATATGTATGATTTAATTAAGAAATGCCTAGTTGCTATTAATTTATAACTTTTAATTTAAGAATTTCAATTTGTTGGAATGTTGGGACCTACCTATTATATATAATTAATATAAAACCTAGTATTTTATAGAAAACAAGGACAATATATAATAATTGGACTAGATATTTATTCGATCAAAGTTGAAGTTACTATTTAAAATAAAATAAAATAGTGCTCTCTATATGGTATGTTTAATGTTTATATATGTACGTAAATATTATTGGCTATAAGTCGTTAGGTGAGACGATGACTAAGTTTTATCCTCCAGCAAATTAACAATATGATTGAGAAGAATTGGGAGTTGATTTAATTTTTTAATTAGTACAAGTTTGAGGTAGTCATGTAATTATGGCTACTAGGATTATGATAATATATTTTTAAGAAATAAATAATTATAATTAGTAGTACGAAATTAGTATATAATATATGAACACGGTATTTGCCATTGTCAAAGAAAAATTAGATGAGAATAATCATGACCTATATAAATGTCCTTTCATTATCATTTTGACCAACAGAATTAAGTTCCATTAATTCACAAGAACATGAAGGTAATTAAGTCTTTAAAATTATTCTTAGTTTAATTTGTATTATTTTGTTCTTAATTTGATATAGTTTTGTTCTAATTAATGATTAATTATGTGATATACAGAAAAAGATTGTGATTGATCTTCCTGTCAACACTGATCAATGTAGATCAAAAGCTATGCAAATTGCTGTTAGAAGTTCAGGTACTTAATTAACTTGGAGAAATATTATTCATCAAAATGAAGAAAATGACTTTTGAACATAAGTTACTATTTTTGACAATCATCTCGAAATCATTACTTTATGATCTTATGACACTTGGACATTATTATCGATATTCAGAACATTATCTGATTTGTTAAAACGTTGTTATCAATCTTTAACAAAAAAAATTTTTTTTTGAAAATAAGTCATTTTCAGAAGCACATGCATATTCATAAATGTGACTTTTATTGTAGCAAATACACTAACACACACTTTTATTATTATGTTTGAAATTGTTGTTCACACACTAACACCTCTCAAATGAAAAAAATGAATGTTTGTTTTACTGTGGATCATGGCCTTACCACTCGATCGTCGATGATCATGCAGGGGTGATATCAGTGAATATAGACAAGGAAAAAGGTCATTTGGTGGTGATAGGAATTGGTGTCGATTTCTTTAGATTGATGCATTGCATAAGAAGGAAATTCAAGTGTTCTCGAATTGTGAGTATTGAAGAAGTAAAACCCGAAGAGAAGAAGCCCGAACCGGATAAACCCAAGGAACCTTGTCCTTGTCCTTCAATATGCAATCCATGTGTGCAATACTATCCAATATGTCAACCCGTTTATGACACTTACGATAATCCAAGTTGCTCTATTATGTGATATTCGGGGCATACATCGAACTAGAGAGAAAGCTACGAATTCTATAATTAGATTTAGTAATTTAATTTATTTAAAATTTAATAAATTGTCTTTTTTAGAATTCATAACATGAACTTAAAATTATGATTCCGTGTTTAGTAATTCTTTGTTACATGACATGTAATGCTCAATTTTCAATTGTCTTTTATATATGGAGAATTGTATAAAGAATATGTTGGTAGATAATAATATCATGAACTGCTAATATGTATATTTTTATTATTTTATATTCTATCGCGCACAAAAGAATATGAATATATATGTTCCTTCATAACGAATAAGTATTTATACTTTGAATTTCATTGACTTTGTAAATAAAATTAGTAATTGTGCGGTGTTTGATAAGGCTAACCACAATATATATCAATTAATAAAGTTGTGTGATAATTAACTTTTTCTTAGACAACCAATCAAATAATATTGTACGACTTATTCAGAAGAAAGTTTGTGTTGTATTATTCTTATTTAATTAAATGAATTTTAACAATAATAATTACATACTCAATGAAATAAACTTTGAAAGATCTTTTTAATTTGTTTTCCATTCAGTTTTTAATATCTACATTATAGCTCGATTGATTAAATCTGAATTTCCGTAGAAAACTATAAAAGCATTTGAGTGCACAACTTATTATTAAAGGTCTCAGCGTTAGTTGACGAAGGAAGACTTCTTCTACAACATCTCAATTGGTACATTTAAAATATTCCTTCGAAAATAAAAA